GGCACCTCACAGTGCCCGCACCTGTTCCATGCTACAACCAGTCTCTCCCAGTCCAACCAGTCTCTCCAACCAGTGGCATCACTAGGGTTGGTGTCATCTGGTGTGGTAAACTGCAGAGACTTCAGACCTACTACAAGAGATGTTCAGAGACTGCAGACATACTACAGGAGATGATCACAGACTGCAGACCTACTACAGGAGATGATCAGAGACTGCAGACATAATACAGGAGGCAGTCAGAGACTGCAGACCTACTACCGGAGATGTTCAGAGACGACAGACATACTACAGGATATGATCAGAGGCTGCAGGCCTTCTACAGGAGATGATCAGAGACTGCATACATAATAGAAGAGATGGTCTGAGACTGCAGACATAATACAGGAGACGGTCAGAGACTGCAGATGTACTACAGGAAATGATCAGAGACTGCAGACATAATACAAGAGACGGCCAGAGACTGCAGACTTAATACAAGAGACAGTCAGAGACTGCAGACATAATACAGGAGACGGTCAGAGACTGCAGACGTACTAAAGATGGTCAGAGACTGCAGACATGGTACAGGAGACAGTCAGAGACTGCAGACACACTACAGGAGACGGTCAGAGATATTGTGCAGTGGCACTCAGTGTATACTGATCAGGGTTTTTAGAGAGAGAATAGCACCTTTTCTATGGGCACTGGGCAGGAACACTCTGGCTGGATGGTATAGATTTAAAAAGAGTGAGCCCAACTTGCTATGACCTATGGCTGGGATGTGGACTGTGAGCCCACCCCTCCACTGAAGTCCCTAGAAGGGGAAGTGCCCAGAGCGCCTGCCGGCTGCCGCTTCCCTTATCCACCTGGGTCCACTATCCCTCTCTCATCTCGGTCAGGGTACTCTCAATCAACCGTCGGCAGGGATGTCACGGTCACTGCCTTTTCCAGGCTTAACCCCCCAAAGGCAACTTTGGACTCCCCGCACTCCTATAGGGGTCTCCAACCCCTCCATGAGTCCTAGAGCAAATCAGCCTCTAAGCTGTAAGAGTACCCAGGTGTCTACTAGAGTAACCTCCAGTATGAAACTTCACAGACCCACGGGAAGTGCAGCCGCCATCTTCCTCCTCTCACATTCTCACACAGCATGCTGGGTGTACTGGGCAGATGTATAGGCATGGCCACGCCACTCCTCGTGACTCTTTGGCACCAGCCAGACTGCCATGCAGGAACTTAACCCCTGCCACTCCGGGCTGGAGTACGCTGACTAAATTGCAGGCGTTGCTATAGATGAATCCTGGCAGTAACACTTGGCAGTTGGTTGGCAAGGACAGGACACTTGGCTCCAGCCATTGTTGGATGACTGGGTGTCAGTAACAGTTGTAGAGATGATGATCCGCAGCAGTTGCCAAGGACAACAGCTCGGCAAGGGATACCCTCCCCCGCTGAACACCATGGTAAAAAGAGAGTCACTGAGCTCAACTGATGCAGGGCAGCTGAGCATATGTAATCCACTGGGTTACATGCCATTCCAGTTGCTCCGGGCAATGACAAGCACGAACATGTGGCAAGCACTGACAATGCAGGCATAAGCTTTGTCAGTGGAGCACAGGCCACAGATGTGTGACTCAAGTGCCGCAACCCTCCCTGGTTGCTACAGGCATTGATGAGCAGTGTAGAAATAGAGCACACTTTACTGTAGTATGCAAGTATTTGCAAAACTTAGTCTTTTGTTGTAGCCACCTGAGGAGCAGCAAAAAGACTTGTAGGCATTGATGAGCTGCTCCGGTTGCTTTGGGCAATGGCAAGCATGATGATAGCGAATATTTTATTGTCATAAGTAGGCATGCAGTATACATAGTCTATTGTAGGAGCAAGTTTTTGAGCAGCAAAGGGTCATTTGTAGACTGATGAGCTGTTCCAGTTGTTCCACACAATGGCAGGCAAGACAATAATGGCAGTAGACATTTTATGAACATTGGCAGACACATACAGAGCATAGTCCTTGGTAAAAGCTACCTGTGGAACAGTGTAAAGACTTTCAGATAAGTCCGGCATGGTTGCTATTGGCAACGACATTAATAGTGACAGTCCTTCAAACACGACAGTCACAATTCCAGCGGAGCAGCACACCTTTCCCGCCGATTACGTGACACTTTCCACTGCTGCAGCACTTTTCTCTGGCTCGTTGGTTGCTGGTTGCTAGGGGCAACAGCCATAAGGTTGCTATAGGAGATCCTGGAAGAGCCCCCACATGTAGCACTACCCCCTTAGGAGTTGCCATAGTTTTGGGTCCCCCTATAGTCCTGCACAGCCAGCCAACACACATTTTCACATCAACTTGCATCCAGGAGGCAGTAAACAGTCCTGGAACTTGTTTTTTGAAGTTTTATTAGGGGAATTGAACTTGGATAGAATAAGGGATGCCCAATGGAACTGAGAACCCCAGGACAAAATCCTGGAACTATATACAAGTTTTTTTTTACAGCAAAACAGTCTCTTTTGGAGAGCTAGCCAGCATCTCCAGTTGTACCACCCCAGACCCCAGATGAATCCTCCTCTCATCCAGCTATCTGAGATGAATCCATAATTCGGGGGTCCAATGCCTACCGCGGTAAAGTAAGGACAGTCCAGGGTAGTTACTAATCTGGTTTCCCACCAGAGTGCTCCTTGCCCTATCTGGCCCAGGGGGTGCAGGTCTACTCACTTAGTCCTTCTCCTGTGTTGCCGGTGGCTATCTAGAGGGGTGCTACAGAGGTATAGACTCCAGAGAGAAAGGATTTTGCCCATGTACAAATCATTTGTAATGCCTCATCCTGAATATGCAGTTCAGTTTTGGGCACCAATTCTCAAAACGTATATTGGGAAACTGGAGAAAGTGCAGAGAAGGGCAACCAAACTGATAAGAGGCATGAAGGAGCTCAGCTATGAGGAAAGAATAGCTGAACTGAATTCTCTCATGAGAAAGGAGATTAAGAGAGAATATGATCAACATATCCATATAGTGAACTTGGAGTAGAGTTATTCTCTTTTTAAGGTAGAAGGTTATAGACTACTAATGGCTCATTTGTTGCCTTCTGAAGAGAAATCTGTGGGTGGATTGTTTTCCAGAGAGTATTTGACAGGCAGTGAGGAGGCAATATTTTACCTCCTCACTGCCTATTTAAACCCCCAAAAACCCACACCTCTGTGCCTCAACCAAATGCATGGCATGTGGTTGCAGGGCAGCCCCATTCAGTTAAATGGGTCACATTTGCCAGGCACTATTTCCCACTGAACACAATAGCGAGGATAATTTTTGAAATACCACAATGTAAGCCTTCAAAGCTGTGGCATGTGTATACTTCATCCTCTTGACTTTGCATCTTAAAGGGTACAACAATACCAAGTCGCAATATCTATTACCATCTGAATAAAAGTGACGACAAAAAAGCCAGACTGGAGCTTGCCAAAATGTATGTTAACATGCCACAGGCTTTCTGTTAGAATGCACTTTGGGCTTATTAAAAACAATTAGAGTGTTTTGGTAAGATACAGCAATTTACAGAGGAAAAGAACACTGTTCCTATTTTAATATGCAAAGGAGGCTTCACAATGTTAAGGTGGTTGTGAAGGGTGAAGGTCATAGAATGCATGAAAGTAAAAAACCTTCTGTGCTGTGCTCCCCCTTAGCCTCACTAATACTTACCTGCGCACCATCATGATCCAGCGCTATGCATGGGAGCCTTGGCTGTCCCAGGTATTCGACTCCTCATTGGCTTAGATACAGCAGTGGGAGCCATTGGCAATCACAGCCAATGAGGAGGGAAAGGGGGGCAGGACTGAGCTATGCTCTGTGTGTCCTATAGACACACAGAGGTGGCTTGGGTGCGAGCATATAAGAGTGCCCCCAGAGCAAACAGCTTGCTCTGGGGGAACTTAACAAGGGTAAGGAGCTAAAAGTGCCAGTGGGGAACAGGAGGATGGGGGATGTTCTGTGCAAAAGCATTGCACAGAGCAGGTAAGTATAACATGTTTGTTATTTTAAAGGAAAATAAATTAACCTTTAGAACCACTTTAATGGAAAGCAATGTTGCCTCTGGCACAAGATTCCTTGAATCTGTGTGTGACACTATGAAATCATAAGACTATCAAGGCATTCTGGAATTAAACAAAATACTCAATGTTAGAAAGCTTTGTCTCAGTCACAGGTCATTAACCCTCCAGCAGAATAATGACCCAAAGTACACATCTAACAGAAACCAAAAAGTGGTTGAAAGGCAGGCATTGGAGTGTTGTGATGTGGCCTGCTATAAATCCTGTTTGATTCCAAAACAATATTTTTGGAAAGAATTGAAACGCAACTGGAATAAGAACTTAAAATTTAAGATAAATGTGTCAGTTTCCTCAAGAAGAGTGGGATATATTGCCACTGGAGAAGTGTAGTAAGCATGGCTTATTTGGAGCTACAGAATATGCTTGATTGCAGTTATTTCCTCAGAAGGGTGTGCAATTAAATATTAAGTCAAGGGTATAAAAAATTATGTACATGCAATTTTTATTTGGTTTTAAGATTATTGAGAATATATTAAGTCATAAAGAAAAATCAAAGTGTCTGCTGTGTGGACTATAGAATTAGGAATGGTGGATGCCCTTTAAATATATAAATACTGTATAATAATAATATGTTAGTTTTGACTAACAGTATTTCACAACAAATGTGAACACTTTGGAAAAAGGTGAAGGGGTACCAATACTTTTGGCCAGGACTATATAATCTTTTTATATGCATATCTACAGTGTGTGTATTATGTATGTAATTCCTATATGGAATTGATATTATATGTTATTTCTAACACTATTTCTAAAATGAAGTGCTTTTCTGACAACTAATACAATAATGCATTTTTCTTTTATTCTTATGCAGAGAAGTTACTGTGTATGTAGGTGTATTGTTATCTATCTGGATATGTTAAAATGTCACCTTGCCAGTATACACTGTGCCTTAAAGCACTCATGATCCCCTGTGTCATTCAAATCAGGACTGTGGGCAAGATGAAGAGTGTTGCTCAGGGCAGGCATGCTCTGGGGGAAGATGTACAAAACGCCTGGTGTCTGGCATTGGCAGAACAAGATGTGATCCTTCAGAAGAACAATGCCCCCCTGGGTTCTGTTGCTCCAAAACACAAAGTATGTGAGTTAACGGAATAATGAGATAGTTATGTTTACCTGCATAGTGAAACAAGAATGCAGGAACTGATCTTAATCTATCTATTTCACAAAGATCAATTTGCAAGACCCATTAACCCATAACAAGCAATTAGAAATCAGTCTGTCTATTAAGCCACTGAAAACTGTTTGTTTTGGTCTACTTTGCACTGATTTAAAAGCATTTGTTATTAAAGAGAACTGGTCATGGGAGAATATGCTGCACAAAAATGAGTGTGTTAAGTAAAAGGACTAGAAGTCCAAATTCTTCTTATATTGATATTACTACATTAGAAGAAAACAGGAAACAGCCAACTTGTTTCAGGTGCTCAAACATGTCCCCTTCTTCAGGGCTTGTGTATAACTAGTTGGGAGTACTCAAAAATGGATTCATTATTTACCGTGTAAACTATAAACAATACCAAGGATCTGAAGATCAGTAGATCTTTGAGCCCACAAAATGCGTGGGCTATGCTATCTTTGCTGGGTATAAACTAATACCAGTATTAAAAGATTTTGGTCTCCTAGACATTTTGTTTGGCATTCTCAGACTTTGTACAGGTAGATCTTCAGCTCTAGGTCTCATTCTCATGGGTTACCCTGATTTTGTTGAGAGTAGCCTCACTGGAGCCACTGTGCTCTGTATTAATCTGACTGACTTACTAATAAATTGAATACAGGGCCTCATTTTCACCTGTTTCATGAGAGAATATGGGGCAGCCCTTTCTGATATCTTTCTGTTAAATGACTAGTATGCTAATCCTTTTGCCTAAAGCCTAAGTGAAGCCAACATAAAAAACAGAAGCACCAAGTGCAAGACACATAGCTTACATTTAATAGCATGTGTCCCTTGTACTGATGCCTCCTCTTTTAGTTGAAATCCTCTTCCGTCTGTGCCCCTCACTCCTATAGCTGTAATCTTCCTGTTTGGTGAGTTTTAATAAAACTAAGGTTTTATAACAGGCTCTCATTAAGAGAACTTGACTATGCCCACCTTTGTTGCCCAGCTCCTCCATGTACTACAGATTTTATGAATGAAATAGGACCCAGAAATGGAACAGAGTGCATGATTGAAAGGTCTTCCCCTCTCCTCTCCAAGGTTATGCAAATATACTTACCTTATCCATTGCTTCCCTGAGAGCCACTGCTCTTTTCTGTCTGTGACCCTCTATAATTTGGGTGGGCCTTTAGCATCCTCACTTATAATGCAGGAATGCTGGTCCTGCATAGTACTTTATGGTATCAGAATGCATGCAACTGACAGAACTGGGAAGATAAATAAGGTAAGTATATTTGCTTTATGTGTTCTCCCTAGACAAAGCAAGCATTTAAAAGTGATATTAAAGGCAGATTTAAAAAAAAACAAAAAAAAACAAACATGTCATACTTACCTGCTCTGTGCAGTGGTTTTGCACAGAGCAGCCCCAATCCTCCTCTTCTTGGGTCCCCTGCCAGTGTTCCTGGCCCCTCCTGCCAAGTGCCCCCAGAGCAAGCAGCTTGACGCTGCTCTGTGTGTCCATTCATGTATAAGCTTGGCTCTGTCCCTCCCCCGCTCTCTCCTCATTGGCTCATTGGCTGTGATTGACAGTAGTGGGGGCCAATGGCTCCCGCTGCTGTGTCAGCCAATGAAGAGGCTGAGGAAGAGTCCCTAGAGAGCTGCTGTTCCTATGCACAGTGCTGGATCCAGATGGGCTCAGGTAAGCATTAGGAGGGGCTAAAAGGGGAGCTGCACACAGAAGTTTTTTTTACCTTCATGCATAGAATGCATGAAGGTAAAAACCTTGATCCTTTAAAGTGATATTTTAGCTGCATAGTTAGTCATGTTGAAAAAAAGACAGAATCCTATACCCACATCCAGAACGAAGGAAGGCAAAGTAACCTGAATAAATCATGATTTGCACAATTTGCTCCAACAGGGAAAGAAATTTCTTCCTGATCTTCCAGGAGGCACTAGATTGACTAGATTGACTTCTGTACAATCAGGATGCCCATACATGGATCGAAATTTGGCTGGTCCCTTCTTAACTGGTTGAATTTCGATCCATGCGTGGCCAGCTTTACGAAGTATACTATACTATACTTTGATAGTCTAAAGTTTTCGTTTCTTTCATAGTCAGAAGCACCAGCCCCAACATCTGAATTTAGGGTGCCTCTTTTTCCCTTACAGGGACACATGGAGCCACCCTTTGGTGCGTGCTTCTGGGGTCAGATTATAGGGCAATGTGTAAATTGGCCCAGAGTCCTCATCAGCAATTTATTAATGACAGTGGACACATGTGCGCTGGTTCTAGTTTCAATGAGACATCCCAGTAAACATAATTAAATTAATGAAAATAATGTTATTAGTGTATGCTCCCCAACAGGACTTTTGTGAAGGCAATGTGCAGGAATCAGAGGATGCATTTGAATAATGGCAAAAGTGAGTTTTTTCAAAGAGTTTCTACAGGAACCTTTTAGCATACTGCTAAAGGATGCCTGTTTGTTGATGTGAAAACAAAAGAGGTTTTAATACTACTTTAATTGTTGCAGTGCTGGAGGAGCCACTGCAAGGGTCTTTTTTTCCCCAGAATTCAACTATAAATCAGCTTTGCACTAAATCCAGCAATCCCTTTTCCTGTTGACAGCATATCCATTTCCGGTGTGTATTCCACTTCCATCTGAAGGAGAACAGTGCCACAGTCAGACCAGAAGCCTGCTAAAAGTGATTACCTATGGTGAAGATTATGGTGCTACTCTGAATTATTGTCCATGTACAGAGGGCCTAGTGTGCTCCAGTAGAGGGTAAGGAAATGTCTGTGTAGTGGAACCCCCGGAAGGGCTGCTGGTTGATGATGAGTACAGCACAGATAATGATGATAAGAGTTCTCCCCTACTAGTGCGGAGGCTGCCAGCACACAGAGCACAGTTCAAGCACACTGACACAAGGAGGAGTCTAGGGGATTGTCTTTCATGATTTATTGCTAGAAATGTAAACACTGGAGAGGGTGCAGGGTATGGGATACTCCAGACTATGAAGTGCAATAAGAGGACACTCCTCTCTGTGTTCAAATCCTCAGAAACAAATCTTCAGTTAAAACTTCATGACACAGTCCCCCTTTAAATGACTAACGGGAAGTCCAGAGGTAGGGACACTGAAAGAAGGACTGCTTGCTCAGATATCCCAATAGTACACAGTCACTAGGATCTTGTGGAACAATCAGTACTCACAAGGCCAGGGAACAGCTGTGCCCATTCAGCTTCATCCAGGTGCTTTCTAGTGAGATTCTGCAGACTGGATCCCTCAGGGGTGGTCTCTGGGTTTTGAAGATAACTTTAGAAGTAGGCACCCCCCAGCCCTGCCACAGCTAGGACCTTGATTAAATAGCCATCCCCCACCCAAACATGTGGAATCCCTTCTACAGGAAGACCTTGCTACTGTCCAGTTCACACTGTTTATCAGCCTGTCCAGTCACCTACTGGGCCATCCCTCTCAGGTTATTGGCTGGTACTGAATACAGTAAATATTAAGGTACACTTCTGACGCTCTACTTCTTATGTTCTAGAAGCCTCCAGAATTCAGAGGGAGAATAGTGAAACCTGCAGCCTGTGAAACCTAAAGCAGCCTATAGAAATCAATTGTTGTTCCAATGACTACAATTAAACCATACAAAAAAAAAATTACCTAATATCCTAGCAGCCTGTGCAGGAGTTTTGCTATATATGGAATATTCATTGTCCAAAATGTCACCCATATGCCGTGTTGGGCTAATACTAGTGGAGTTGTTTATATTGCCAATCATACTGTAGGTACCAAGTAATGTCCACAGAGTTCATGTGCCATCAAATTTACTATCTAAAGGTTTTTATTACTGTCTTTCTCTTCCTATCCCTAGTTATCTCCATTACCAAAAGTTTTGTCCTGGTATCACAATGATAAAAAGTGAGGAAAAATGTTCTCAATGGAGTCATAGACAGCAATAAAGGAATGAGAGATATTACAATCCTTCCCCACTCTATTCAAAACTAAGAAAGGGTTTAACAATTTAAACTTTGGTGAAGTTATCCTTAATTTATTCTACCACCCCACTAAAAGCAACCTACCCAGTTACATACTTACCTTTAGTCCTGATCCAGTGATGTTTGCTGTATGACCCTGCTTGCCCAGCGCAGCATTCCCCCAAAAAATCTCTGTCTGACTTCTATTCACACTGTGCAGGTGCCATAGCTCCATTCATTCATACAGGATGGTCATACTCATAAGTACCACTGGAGACTGCCATGAGTACTGCTGTCCTATAGGTATGAATAAGGCTGCAGAGTACAAATGCAGTGTGAAGAGAAGCCAGCTGGAGGATTTCTTTGTGAAGGCTTTGCATTGCCAGCTTCAGGTCTAATTGATATTGTTGTTTGGGTCTACTCAGTGCATGTTTTAAAGCATAAGTTCACCTTTCTACAAAAAATAATAAATGCACATTTTTTTTGCAGGTAAAAAAAAATGTGTGTAGCACTACTCTCAAGGGTTGCTTAGTAATTTTCAGGTTCCCTGTGAATCTCTGGCAAGTATGCATTGTTAATCAATTGCTGTAATAATGGCTCTACCTAGGGTTAGGAGACTGATTGCTCAAGAAGTAAAGAAATAGCTGCAAAAACCTCTTCAGGGATGGTGTCAGCAGAGGGGCTTACAGATTCTCGGATTTGCTCCAATAAGTTGTAAATGGGAGCTCCTAGAATTCTTTGACTGGAATGGAAGGCTTCTTCAGAGCTTTCTCCCAACACATCATAAGTCTGTTGGGTGCTCTTATCTTGCTTCTTTCCCTGGACTCCTCCTGAGGGGTGACATTTTCTCCTTCTATTGCAGACTCTGCTTGAGAACCCTTCAAAAGTGGGGTCTGGCAAAGAGGTAGGCTCAACCAGACTTGCAGGGCCTGTCTCTGCAGTGGAAGGAATCTCTGGTTGAAAACTTGTCAAAGGAGCGGGTGAGTCTGAAACAGTGGTGAGCGTC